TAATAACTGAAAAATCATCTATTGAACACCACATGATAAATCAAAGATGGGGAAACCAAAGATATGAAACACCACAATTAGAAGAAGTATCTATTTTACCAGTGTTACCAAAAATAGAAATAGAAACAACACGAGGATATACAGTAATAATTCCATATATAACAGAGAAACAAGAAACAAAAATAAATTTTAAAATCTTAGCAGCACAAAGAATCAGATATAACATATACCAGAACCAATGGTCATGCTTCGGAGGAAAATATGAACCAAAAGATAAAACATATTATCAAAGTATCAAACAAGAAGCAATGGAAGAAATTAATCTAAAAATAGATGATTCACGGATGCAACTAATAATGATACATAATTATTACTCAAATAACAAAAGTAGAACACAACCATTATATAACAATCAAGTGGCGAAAAAAGAAGTAACAACAACAAACCGAGTTGTCATACCAATATATCTATATAGACTAGATGATAAGGAAAGGAAGACAATTTAGAATAAGGAAGACGATAAACAAGGACCATTACAGTACCTATCATACGAATAAGTAAAACATAAACTCTTTACGCCAAGCATTCACCTATATAAAGAAAAATTATTGGAATTATTAATACCATATTACGAAAATGAGTATCAGACCCGGTATAGGAGGGTATCACCAGCCATGACATTTGACCCGCATAAATTAGATATAAATGGAGAATTTCCAAAAGATTTACCTCCAAAAGAGGAAATACACCAACAAACGAATAAGGGGTGACAAACAAAGCCGAACTAATAGGATGGCCGAATTACCTGTACAAGCTTATCTCACTCTCACCGCCAAGGGATCAATATCACCAACGGCTGTAAGGTTATTTTTGATGGCTATCAATGGTAAAAAAATGTGATGCTAGATGTTTGATCAACATGTTTTGTTATAATAGCATAAATAAGGAAGTGCATAGCGCTTATTCTAAATTTGTAAATCGGGCTTGGGATATATAGCATGTAAAATTATTACCATACCCTGTATAACCAAATATCTGCTAACTATCTAATCCAAATATAGAAAACGTGCGATTGTTGATTGAATTGCCATGTCTAATAATTGTGGTGCCGAATTTGGTAAACACGCAATTGTTTGTTAGAAAATTACCATGTCTATTATAATGTCAAATAAAACAACGTGCTAACCATTGTTTTGACGAATTACTATTTTTTAGAAAGTGCACTCTGTAATTGCAAAGTGTTAAATCGTCAAGTTATGTTTTGCAACATATAATGCCATGATAAAAAAATATTTGGCAAATTTATAAATTAACACGCGTTAGGAGTAACTATACCTTTAGTTATAATTGTATTTTCTAATAAAAGGGCGCCTCCCAGCATAAACCCTCATAATTTATTTTTTATAACATTGTAAGCTTTGCTATATATATCGCTAAAAATTTCCACCTGTTAGTAATATATCGATAATGTTTTTTAAATTCATAAACAATGCAAGAATCTATTGAGAAGCGTAAAAATGAAAATGAAATTTCTAACCTTGTTAACATATCTCAAGAGAAACCAACCAAAAAGTTGTCACGTCACGCTCGTTATAATAAAAAACGTAGGCTTGGGAAAGAACAAATTTCAACCCTACCAATGGACCACAATTTACCTATCGCACCAACCATAGCATTAACGATTAATGATATTACTTTTGATCCGAACCGGGTATATATTATTTATAATTATCAAATTCTTTCCTCACTGCTAGGATTGTTTTTGTGCTGATCGGTTGACCTTTCCAAGCTATTATTGAATATACTCAGATATGCAAAAAATTTTGTTTTATAGTAGAAGCGATAGGGCCTCTACTGAGTATATTTGTGATTCAACAGACACATGGTTATTTTTTTAATAACTCAATAATTAGTTAGGGTGGTTGGTCCAGTCCGCAAAAATATTAGACAGAAGAGGATAAATCTAAAAACTCATCCAAATCTATTAATAAGCTTAATATTAATTTTACCTTTTGTGTTATTAATTATTAGCATCGGACCCAATATGCAACTCGGGGGTTATGTACGCAAGATAAAATATTTTATATTGAAAAAGAGTGGAAGAGCATTCCGCTTGGCCCATCTGATCGCATAGCGTCAAAAGGAGTTAAAAGTCGAGAAAAAGTTTTTGCAGAGGAATTATTAATAGAAACATTAGTTCGAGAAGCTGTATTAGTAAACAGAGTTGAGCTATCCGAGATCCTGCCTAATTTTCTAGCGCTTATTAATAATGAGATAATTAAAGTCAATTATGTTACCCAAGTGAAGTCCAAAACAAAAAATCTAAATGAACAATTGTGGCTTTCTCTTGGACAATGGTTAGGGATGGAAGAACCACTCACAAGAAGTGATATACGTCAGCATCTCCAATATAAGTGGAAAAAACTGAAACATGCTATAGAAATTCGAAATTATATAGAATTACAAAATTCTTCAAATATAATAACCTCATGTATCTCTCGAAAAGAAAAGACCCAAATGATAATTTCTGCACGAGGTAATCTTCGATCACTAAAAGGGTTAGTGCAGTTTCAGTACATTGTAAAGCCAGAATATGTTACTGATATGGATGGCCGAACTTTAATACATCTGGCATTACTTAATAATCCAAAAGCAGTTATACAAGCAACGGATGCTGTAAACTATTATTATTTTCATACCTTAAATAACCCTTCCCACCATAGCGATGAATTCTGGAAGAATTTCATAGAACATTTTGGTGCATATACACGAAATAACCTCCTCCTATTCACTAGTTCGAATACTGCAAGTTCCCATAATGTCGCGCATCAAGAATGCGTTGACATTTTACTTCGCAAACTTGGCCCATTATCAACCTCTGTTAATGAATTTGTACAAGAATTCTATGGAAATCTATATGAAAAATTAGAGAAGTTGGTGTGGGGACCCTTTGCACCTCGACTCTTTGGAATCTTCCCGATGATCGCTATTAATTACAATACAACTAGCGATTACCATTGGGACGAACATGACGAACCAAATAGTTTATGCTGTTTGGTCGCTCTCGGAGAATTTGAGGGAGGAGAATTATGTTTCCCTCAACTTCAGATCATTGTACCACTTCAGCCTGAACAAGTTGTGGCGTTTTCCTCGCGTCTTCTACTGCATGGTAATTTTCTACTTATAAAAGGTATTCATCATAGTATTGTATACTTTGTACATGATACCTTTTTTCATAATCTACGGAAATTCGATGATGTATACGATAATCTGAAGAATGGGATTGAGAGAAATGCTAATGGGCATATGTTTTTTTCATTAAACATCAAAATCTCAATAATGCTCAAGGATTGAATTCCAGAACTACGTTTTTTAAGCCGAAAAAAAAGCAAATAACAATTCCTCCTTCATCAACAGATTGTAGAAGGGGTTATATTTCTTTGGTACGTGCTAGGTATGGGTTAAGGGCAGAAGATCCACTTCCAGATTTATAAGTAATTGGTAGAAATGTAATATATTTTTATTGTATTACATATAAATATATAATGTACATTTAAAAATTAAATAAATAAATTCTTATCTTCTCCAAACGTGTGGTTTTTACATAATTCTGCTAATATGAGTTTACAATTCTCACTACAACCCAATATGCATCTCTTCCATTCTCATTTATATATCACTCACAAAATATAACAAATATACACAACTCATCTAATAACCTAATTCGTACTAAAAATGAATCTGGTTTTAATCATATATATTGTACCAAATCTAATAGGTCAAAAACACTAAAACTGCTAAATATATAAGCGATAATATGTCTGGTTTTGATATCGCCACTATTATTGATAAAAAAGATAAAACACTTCCTATACCGTATATTAATCGTCCTGGTTTTGATATGAAGTATGCTGTATCATATATATCACATTATGGTAGAACTTATGCTAATAAACTCAATCAAATTTTCGATAATGAGAGATTATTTGACACTTTATCTACTATAAAACAGAATGAAACACCTGTTCAATGGGCAATACGAGTAAAAATTCCATTACAAGATTTGTTAAATTCAGGAAAATTTAGTGTATATCATCGATATTGTTTATTTATGTCATTTGGTAAAGGTAAATTTGTCAATTTTGATTACTACAGACCAAAGATTCATAAAAGTCATATGGCTATTTGTTTTGGTTGCAGGAAACTCATAAAAATCGATAATATGAATCCTAAAAAATTATTCCATTTTACTAGACAGAGGTATGTTGATTGTCTCAAACCTAAAGATCTGATGCAGAAACATTGGGACCACGAATGTAATAAACCAAAGACTGATTTTAGAAAAGCAAGAATTATATAAATAGCTTATCGAAATTATAAGAATAGACCTGAATCATTAGCAACCCAAGCTTGGAATGCAATGAAAAATGATGGTACTTCTGATGATGAAAATTTTCTAGGTTTAACTCGACATCAAGTAAAAAATCCTCAGACTCAGAACAATTTAATCAATGGCATACTAAATGGATTGAATTATATAAAAACGATCCTATGATGCGCAGTTCCATTATTAATAGACAATATGAAGAATATTATATTCCGGATAATTAGATAGATTATAAAAAGAGACAATTGCATATTAGATTCCAAAAGCGACTTTTAGAAATAGAAGCATAGTATTTAATCAATTATATAACTTATTCATATATATCTATTTAAAATAAACTGCCTGAAGTATTCCTGGGGCTAGTACTTTAGACTTTATTTCGTTATCCCCGAGGGCTGGTAACATTTTTTACTTTGATTTTTTATCAATGTATATTCCATATTTTTTCCATGCAAACTTTTTGCGCACAAACTAATAATCAATGTTTAATCCTGATTACAACCCCATTATAGCGAAACTTCCAAAAAGTCTGGTCAAGAGAGCATACCACAGGCTTTTACACCACTCTAGATCTCCGTCACATCAGAGCAAATTTCTAAAAAATATGATCGAATTGAGAATTATTTGTATCATACATTAGAGGTATATGAAAAAGGATTAAATAGAAAGCATAAAAAACAAATCCAAATTATAGATCTACTTGAAAATTTATCGTATAATTATAATAACAAAGCTAGTGTTAAGACACATATAGATATGATTAACCAAGAATCCCAAACCCAAGATACTATTCTGATTTGTTCATGTGATCAGACACATAGGTGTCCTTGCTTCGTATATGAGGATGAGATCAATCGCCGGGTTAAGAAAGAGGTCAATGTTTTATTTCAGCAATTATTGGAATACAACGAAAAAACTTTTGATAAATTTATGCGAGAAATTACTATAGAGCATGAAAAGCGGGTTAATGAAAATAAAAAATTACGATATGAGGTTGAAGAAAAGAAGATAGAATTGCAAGAGGCAGAAAAA